AAGATCCATCTAACATCAGCTACAATATCCCTAGTACCACGACCCCTTCTAAACCCAGCCTGGAATTCTGGCAATTCTCTGCTGATGTGCTGTTCCAGTCGTTTTCGGAAAATCTTCAGTAGATTCTTGCTTGCATGTGAAATCAATGATACCGTTCTGTAGTTTCCACTGTAAAATGCATGTAGTACGTGTTTTTATTTCGCTTGTGCCATTGATGTTTGAAATCAGGTAGAACGTATTTTTCCTTTTTTTTTTTTACTAATTTCTGTTTAGCAACCTGCAAAGTATAACCTCCTCATAGCAGTGGCAAGAAGCTGCACTGCAATTCTGAAGGTAAGTGGTTTGAGGCCAACAGTGTTCCCAGGAGAAGGGTGGGCAATCTCCACCTGAATGATTAGCTTCATCTGAAAACCCACCAGAGGGTCAACTATGGTTGATTCCCACTCTATGGTACACAACTACAACAACAGCAAACAGAGAAGGATAAGACAAAAACACCCCCTGATAAAGAGGCAAACAAAAGTATATACAGAGAAATACATATACAGACATTGCCACGCATGCACAAGTCTTAGTATTCCACTGAAATTTAAATTTGTCATAAACATATTGATATCGTGCCTAGTATTCATGCGACAATCAAGGCAAATCTTACCTGAACAACAGATCTCCCAGTTCCTGTGAAGAGCAAAAAACAACAAAATTTCAGAATATGTTTTATTATGTCCAAATTTTAAAAATACCAAACACTAACTTCCTCCACACTGAATTTTGGAAATTTCTTTTCTGTTTCCTCTTTAAGATAATCACATGAACAAAACCCAAATTCTTATTGACTAAAGAGTCTTTGAGTGAATGAAATGAGAAAATAACCTAGGTCTGGGCTGCATGCCTTCAAATATCAAATGACTATAAAATTCGTGGTAAGGAATTTTGCAATCAATGCAAAGGGACATAATTTTCCAAAGAATGACGTAAGATAAAGGGAATTCACATCTCAGACATTCATAAAAAGGAAGAATTAAATATCTTCTTTTCCTTTCCTTGTTCAACTGGAGACTACAAGGTCTATGAACGAGTTGAGTATTTTTCTGATTGCTAAAAGCATGATTTACATAATGAGAAAATAGAAGATAGTCTATTCTCTCAGATCTAAAATTTTCTTTGTCATGACTGCGACATGTTCCTTAAAAGCATAAAATACAGATGTAATTCTTTAATTAAAATTATATAATAAACATAAAAGATATTCACTTGAGCTACAAGAAGTATTTCCTAGTACCATTCTCATCACATACCTGCAACATCTCTACATCTGGTTTATAACACATATTCAGAAGCTCCTCATATATTGTATGTAGTTCTTTGTGTTTTTTTAACATTGCATGTTCTGTTTCCTGGAATTGGTCTTCAATAAATTTACGATGGTCACTCAGTAGCCCCAACTGCATTGTTTTAATTTCGTGGAGACCTGGATGCACCTTCTTATACTCTCCATGGATCATCATCGTGTAGACATGGATGTAATACTGCAGAAACATGAATATTCTAGATTAAACACTAGGTGGTCTTCTTCTTTTAGCCTTAAACATCATTCAACTTTTTAAACAACTATTCTCTTTCAATCAAGTAAACAATTCTGTTTATCCACTTTACAATAACAAAAAAGAACACAAAGCTCTCTTTTCTCCCTTTACTATAATGATGGAATATTTTAAAAGAGAGGGATGAGAATCCCAAAACGCTTGACCGTGCTAACGTGAAACCTGTGTTTGGACCAGGAATGAGTTGTCAGAACAGAGCACGGAAACCCTGTTGTTGTTTGTTGATATGTGCCATTGAGTCGTTTGCGACTCATAGAGACCCTATGCGCAAGAGCCCTAAACTGTGTTCTATCCTATGCCAACCTAGTCATCTCAAAAGCACTTATTCCCACTGCTCCAGTCACAAAATCGATCCATCTCATC